AATTCTGGATTAAAAGATCGTCATATTGCGTCATCCACGTGACTTCATTATGACTGGTCAATCGCTCCGTTGACAACGCAAAATTTACATATTACTAATTTTTTGCTTTTCTTTTTGTCTATAGCTAGTGTAAATAATTCAGTGTATTTTGTCTAAATAATAACTGTTTATAAAACTGAATCAGAAATCCAATGATGTGAACGATACTTTTTAACTACAAATTCTGCTATCTAACCTATTAAGCCTTTTCAGTATACATCTATATAGTGAAATGCTTTCATTGCATACTGATGAATAGTTGTAAGTAAAACAGAAGCAAGAGCTAATAGAACAGTCCTTTGTAATCCTATCCATGAGTAATCACAATTTGACTGATTAAATTTCTTAGCTGCATCCCAAAAGTTCTCAATATAATTGAGTTCACAATGAAATTTAGGATAGAATATAATTTGATATCCAGCTGCAATAATAACCTTTTCTAATCATCCCTTTTGTGCTAAAAAATCTGACTGCTAACTCATTTTTTCATGCTTCTTCCAATTTCAACCCTCTATTTGGTCACAATCCCTTTTCTGTTAGGACTTGCTTTAATCCTTTTAGCTGTTCACACAGTTTAGAAATATGATAATCTAACAGAAAGACTATTTCTTGTTGAATTCTCTTACTAAAATACGTATTGCACATCTTCAATTGCTTTCCACTAGGGTTAAAATTCATTTGTTTAGCAATTAGTGCATCTGATAAAAAAGTAGCATGACTTGATGCATTATTAAATGCAAATAAAACCTAATACCCTGAAAAATGTTTTTCAAATATGGGAATAGCACGTTCGACTACTTGGTTTATTAAATCTTCAGCCTTCTACCATCTATTATTATTTTTACCTGGATTCATAATAATATAGACCTCTTTAGGAAAATTATCTGATACCTGTATTTCATCAGAAAGTGCAAGGCGGTCACAAACATCAGTCAAAGTCACTGACATGAATCAAGCAACCATTACCTTTTTTTCGTAAGAGTTGTTCTCTATTAGGGATCCAAAGACTCTGACTTCCATCATAAGCTAAGAAAATACATTCATCGTACGTAACAAGAATAAGTGGATTATCTGGCCAGGTTACTTCTTTTAAGTTGTCTTCTGAAAAAATAGGCATTCTAAGCTTAAGTTCACTTATTCGTTCTAAAAATATTTTCCGATAAGCTATCACATCTTCTCTTTCATGCTCATCTATATACATTCCCTTTTTTACTTTTGCATATGTATAATCAAGCTCTTTTAAATAGTTTCTTGCAGTATTTATATGAATAATTGGAGATGATACAAATCTGAGCCCTGATAAAATATTCTTATTCATTTGTATCATTAACATTTGTGAAGTAATTTTCCATTTATGTTTCTGAACAAATGACATCACTTAGAGGAGAATATCTTCATCCTAAAGAAAACTCCATATCTTAGCATGATGTCTTTGACAGAAGTAGGGAATTTTGTGATTCTTTATATATTCACGTGCTTAAGGATGAATGCATTTAGTATAGTATGTTCCTTTTCCTGCTGCATCAGCAATAATCTTGTTCACTTACATTTTTGGATAGTTACTTTTCATAAGTTGAAAATAAAGACGAATGTTATTTAAACGCATCTAAACCTCACTATTTGTTTTTTCTTTTTTAATATCTAACATTAGACTTTTGAAAGCATCCAGGATTTTATTATACTAATTATAATCCTTAACCTTATTATCTAACTGTTTATTAGCATTATTATCTAATACTAACTGTTCATCAGCATTATCATCTATATCTATATTAGTTTCATCATCTAATTTTTTAATTTCTTCAATAGATTTCTTAACATTCCAAAAGGTATGTAACTTAAGGGTCCCTTTTGCTACTTCACGCTATTGCTGATTCTTTCTTCTTTTAATGTGACTTGAGTTTCTTATATAACGTAATCTATGTATTTCTTGAGAAGCATATTCCTGATGATACTTTTTTGCCGCTTCTTGTAGTTTTTTTACAATGCTTATGACATTATCATTTTTTATTGGCTTATCATGAATAGAAAAATTATCATCATAAAAAGAAATATTATTATTGTCAGGATCTTCAATATTATCATAACCTTTCAGCTTATCATGGAAAGAAATATCATTAATATCAGAATAACTTTCAAAATCAGATACATTATCAATATCAATGTTACTTCTGATATACTAATGCTTAGTTTTTTTTGCTTTACAAATTTTTTTTAGATGTTTGTTGGATGTGGCATATTAGAATATTATTATATAGGCAAGTCAACTTTTTTATTATTTAATTAATATTGATTTTTATAAGAAAAAAAAATTTTTTCTAATCACAAAATACACAAAGTAAAAAAATTATAATCACGTCAAAAAAGCAAAATTAAGTTATGCATATATCCACTAATCGGTTAATATATTTAATACTGTGAAATCTGTTCGAATCCTAAAAGTTAAAATCCTGAAACCTCTTTATCACATTCTATATGCAGTCATATTTGTCATACATTTTTCGTGATGTGGGCCAATATTAATGTGACAAATAATTTTGATTTCAGGATTTTATATTAACACAATACTACAACAACCCAATTAATACCAAACCATTTTAGAATATACCAATAGTGTCTTTATTAATTATAAATGCTAATTTGTTATACATGTTTAATGTACAAATATAAATTCGAAACCATTTTGTCACGTGATATATATATGCACCAATAGAATTACGAGATTTCTTTATCACGTGATAAATGATCGACATCTCAAATTTGGCCGCTTAAAAAATTTTTGCACTGTATGACGAAAAAACTGGAAATTTAAGATTTTACTAATTGATCATAGTAAAAATAGTAATCGATAAGATGCATATTTAATTAGTAAATCCATTTGACCCACTTAACGCGTGACATGTCTAGTGACTGATAACGTTTTGCTGCGCATAGTATAATTTTTTGCATTTCACGTGACTCAACGAAAGAGCGAAGTACAAGAAAATATTGAGATCCGGACTTTGTGCTTGTACCTAAAGACAGAAAAGCAACATAAGAATTATTATTTTTTGTAAATTCTAGTTGTATGACGCTTGCAGAAGTCATATATAATACGTCACATGTGCGTCGCAACTACATTTTTTTTGATGGCTACGATATAAAGTCTAATCAAATGTCGATCTTTTTTATATCGTGTAACTTTCAACTTGAAGTGCAAATCAATAAATTTTTGCTTTTTAATATTATTGTAATTTGTAATCACTACAAAATGTCATTAGATAATGATACGATAGAAACACTTTCAGAGACGAGTCGTTTACTTGATGAAAATTTCGATGAAGGTCAAGAAACATGGTTAGAAAAATTTCGTTCACAACGTTTATTATGGATGCTTCCATTTAGCTTAACTTTATCTATAATCATGTCTTCAACCATGGCTCCTTTAGTACAGCTCATCTTTGAATTAGTTTGTCAAGAATTTAAAGAACAAAAACAAAAACAAAATTTACTATTTGATGATGAATGTAATTTACCAGAAATTCACGTAAATGCATCAAATTATATAATGTGGTATACAACTTTATTAAATGTTGCAGGTTAGTTTAACACATTTTCCATTTTTTTTATTTTTTGATTCACAATTATTAAACTGAATCAATTTTTTTTCTTTGGATTCCAGTAACTCTATCAACCGGATATTTTTCCACATTATCAGATTATTTGGGACGTAAATTTGTATTTAAATTATCAACAGTTGGTTTAATATTTGCTTTAGCAAATTTATTGATAGTAGCACATTTTTGGAAGATAGTGGGAATCAAATTTTTATTCGTTGGTTCAGTTATAGAAGGATTGCTTGGAGGTATAATTACAATAAATACGGCGTGTCATGCCTATTTGAGTGATTGTACAAGCAGTGAAAATAGAAGTGTTGCGTTTAGTTTAATGCATGCTACTGCATATTGTGGCATGTCCATTGGGCCTACTTTGGGTGGCTTGATTATCAAGGTGAGGTCCTGTACTTAAGGTCCGTTTATTTTTTAATTCGCGTTAATTTCTTAATTTTATTATTTATAAAGGCTACAGGATCAATTCTTTCGATATTTTATATAGCAATTTGTGCTCTCATTATATTTTTAATTGTAGTTACATTAATTTTACCAGAATCAGTCTCTCCTAGTATGCGTGATCAAAATCTTTTAATATCTCCACACACTTCTATGAGACATATAGTATCACCTTTAACTGTTTTAAGACAAATCCCCGTTGGAATAGAGGAAAATAATTGGAAAGGAAGAAACACCTTATATATTTTAGCTGTAATTTATTTTTTTTATAAGATCTCGCAAGCTGGTAAGTTAATGAATAGATTATTTCATCTTGAAGAAAACTATATATATATATTTTTGCTAACATTTTTTTATTATTTTAGCGCAAAATGAAATCGTAAATTTATATACAAAATATAAATTTCATTGGACATCACTAGAAAATGGATATTTTTTATCATTACAATCATTCACGCGTCTTATAGCATTGATTCTTCTTGTACCATTATTACATCTAATTCGATTGCGTTATAATCCAAACAATTCACGTTCATTAGATATATGGACGATGCGAGGTGGTCTAATAATGGAAATTATAGGATTCATCTTATTTGCATTAGCCATCAGCCCTGATTGGTTTTACTTTGCTTGTGTAATTAATAGTTTAGCCACCATAACTTCCCCCGCTATGAGGAGTTTATTTACAACTTTTGTTTTACCGAATCAATCTGGGCAAGTTTTAGGTGCTATAAGTGTTATAGAAAGTGTAGGAAGTATTTTAAGTCCTTTATGGATGAATCAATTATATAGTTGGGGAATTGTTAATGGAATAAGTGAAATTGTATTTTGGGTTAATACTGGTATCTTTATAATAAGTTTTTTCTTGAGCACTTTAATTTGATGTTATTTAAGTTTTTTTATGCTCGTGATTTCATGGACTACGTATTCTATTATTTACTCATAATAAATAAAAATAATTTTGTCATAAAATAAATTTCAAAGTTACAATTACGATATAAAAAAAGAAATCTTCATTATAATAAATTAATTGTTTTTGTTTTATGAAAGAATCGATTAACGATTAAAAAAGGCAGAAAGAGTTTACGAAGCAGCAAAGAGGAAGTTGAACAATTTGAAGGAGAAAGTTGAGAGAGTTGAGTAAATAAATAAAACGTGAAATGACGAAGAAAGAAAATTTAGAGTTGGATAAGTAAGATTTAGGATGCATGGAGAAAGTTGAAAAATGAAGTTGATGATCGAAAAAAGTCATTAAATAAATTTGACGAGGAAAATGGTACTGAACAGATTACGTAAAAAATAATTTATTCGTTTGAGGAACATTTAATTTTTCTTTTATTATCATCATTTTTTAAATCAAATATGTAATCATTCGAGTTAATTCTTTAATTTTTCTGTCTGTACATCTAGAATGACAATTTCATTGATACTGTTATCATAAATTTCTTGGATTTTTAGACAAGGTAGTCCGCGGAATGATGGAAACTGCCGGAAAAAATAAAATATGAGTAAATAAAGTAAAATTGATTTTTCCCATCAGTTTCCCCCCTTCTATTGCAAAGGTCCCATATATTTGGAACAAAAACTACGATAAATAAAATGTTTATAAAAGTATAAGCATCTATTTGTTATATAAAATTTTGAACAGGTAATGGAAGGAAATTCTAAACAATATAAAGAAATTTCAGATGTATATATTATTCAGTATTTTATAGTTTTACATTACAAATCGTTAGAAAAATTTCTTATATAATTTAGAAGTTTTCTGATTATTATAGAATTGTTAATCATTTTTTAATGATGAAATTTTATAAATTTAACTATTTATTTTATTTATAAAAAATTAAAGCTAAAAAACAGAAAATAATTATAATAATAATGCAAAGTGAACATTAGTATTATCAAAGATTGCAGAAATCATCACATTTTTATTTTAAGTAATATAATTACTTCTATATAAAAATAGTTAATATGAAGTTAATTTACATTAGATTTATCATAAAATCTAAAAATTATAGTAATATCAGAAGTATTTTGAAAAAAGAATAAGGTAAAAAAATTGTATTTT